GAGTCGACGCAGTTTTTCATGCTGATTCCGAATATGTAAAAAAAGAAATAGACTTCTATGACAATTTTCAAAACGCCAGCGTGGTTTTTCAAAGATCCTCTGGAAAACCAAACTTCGGACTTTTTCTCAGAAAAGTTTTTGCTTATAAAAATATGCTCTTGGGTCTTGGCTATCAAATGTTGAAAACCGCAGATCACTATCTTGTTCCTATCAAAAGTTATTCAAAAAGCAACCGACTGCCTTGAATTCTGGCGCCGATAGTAGTTCCAGTCATTATTCGTATCCTTAAGATATTAAGGGTACCCCCCCCTCTTTTTTGACACTTGCTGGTTCTCGAAGACGGTACAACCGATCAAGCTGAAATTTTTAGCACAGATAGAGCACTAAAAATAAAGAGATACGTGTCCGAGGAAAAAAAATTTTAAATAACTTTTTATGGGATTTTCCGGAAAACTCTGGTTTTCCAGAGGTTCGCATCTTGACACATTACGACCCCCCTTAAAGTTTGTCCGATTGGGCTGAAATTTTGTTTATAGATGCCTAACACTATTCCCCAGAGGTAAATTTAAGGATTTCCAAAAATCTCACTTTCTTTTTTTTTTATAAGAAAAATACGCCCAGATTTGAGTTTGTGCTTCAGACCTTGACTTTCACGACCCGGTAACTCCGAGCAGGAACGTCAAAAATGAAAACGCTTGATTTTACCTCTGGAGAATACTTCGAAGTATTAGTCGTGAAATTTTCAGCTCGATCGGACAAACTAAAAAGGGGGTCGTAATGTGTCAAGATCTAGAAAATCGCTGTTTTACAGAACGCTAAATAAAAGAAATAAATTTACATACGATTACTATGAAAAAAAAAATTTTCTCGATCTAATAAATAGGTAAAAGTAAGACATTTCGAGTCGAATAATGTCTCTACCTGCACATGGCACCCAAGGCTATCATATCTTGGGCTCAGCTCAAAATCGAGTTTTGGGTCAAAAAAGAGGGGGGGGGGTACCCTTAAAATGATTTCTTGCATAGAAATCAGTGTGTTCTCCCTTACTGTATATTGAATTCTGATTATTGTATGATACAAACTTTGTTTGCACATATTATAACTCGAGAATCTATTATTTATAACAAATAATTATCAATAACTGTAATGATAACATATGAAAATGAATCATAATAATCATTGATAACAAGTTTTATTTAAATATCAAGCGTTGTTTTTGTATAAAACTCAGCGAATATTCTTTTTTTTTCTGTTTAATAAAGAAAACATTTATTATATTATACAATGAATATAGGTCAATTGTCTCCTGCTTCTTCAAAAACAAAACTTATATACATAATATAGATCGAGAAAAGAAACTCACGTATATAAACAGATTTAATATAACAAAAGTAAAAAAAATGAACAACAAAACAAAACAAATACTTGTTTTTTTTTGTATGTCTATTTATTATAATACTGTTAAATATATAATCATAGTAAACTGTATTATAATTAACGTTTTTTACTATTTCCATTTTTATGTGAATGTGAAGTATGATGCTTATCATAACTTGAAGATGAACGACGACGTTTTGAACTTGATTTCTGATCTTGTGATAATGAAGAACGATCATGTTTTCGACGACGATCATCACTACTACTTCGATCTCTGATAATTAACAAAAAAAAAAGAATAACATATAGAAACAACTTGAATAATTTATTTTGATTACAAAAAAAAAAAGAAAATTTACGTTGATGATCTTCGATCATAAGATGGTGAACGTCGTCGTCGATGTCTATTTCGTGATTCATCACGATTATATGATCTTGACCGATCTCGTTCATTAATATTTCCATTTCCCATCTATAGTTTTATTATAATGAAATCAATCGCTAAATCAAAATAAATAGACATACACGTTTATCACCACCTATATATCGACGACGTTGTCCATTTTGTCCTGGTGTTGTCTTACTAAATTCAACAATTAATCGTCGACCACGATGACTCCGACCATGTTCTTTTCGTTGAGCACGCTATAAGAAACATATAAAAAAGAAAAATCTTAAGATTAAAGGAAAATTAAATATTTAATTTTTAATTAACAACTACGATATAGTACGAAAAGAAATTTAAAAAAAATATATATAATAAATAAGATCTGTACCGTTAAAATATCGTTGACGAAGAAACATTTCGGATGATGCATCAATGGAATGAGAAGGAGAAATGAGGAAGGAGGAAGAGAAGGAGGCTGGATATTCGACTAATCCACGATGATGAAAGTAATTCGGAGACGACATATCACTTACCGACATGCCAAATGAAGTTAATTAATAATAATCGAAACAAAACAAAAATAAAATGCAACATATTACTCTATTAAATTAGTTGTAATTACCAATCACCCTAAAGTCTTTGATAGTCAATAATCAAGTCAATGTCAAATACCTCGGCATCTTTACTGGATTCGAATGCAACAAAACCGAATGCTACAGAACGTGCTAGAAATTAAATTCAAAATAAAATATATTCAAGGAATTTTTCAAAATAATTTTGTTTTTTATATTTTACCTGAAATACCAAATTTAACTTCACATCGATTAACATTTCCATACCGTTCAAAAATTTCTCTTATCTCTTGTGATTTCGTATCTGGATCAAGATTACCAATATATAATTCTTTTGATGACATTCTTTTTTTTTCTTCTTTTTACACAAATATAAATATAAAAAATAACGACAATGGAAGAGATACACTTCACTGAGCAAGCAATCAGAAAGATGCAATGCTTTACTCGCTTGTCGTTGTCCTGGAGAGAGAGACAGAGAAAAGAAGGAAGAACGCACAGTAATACTCTCAAGCAATCTAATTCTCTTTCGCTTGATAGGTAGAGGTTCACACATGTTGTATATGGTACCTTTCTGAAGTAACATTTATTAATTGTTATATGAATACCTATAATAAAGATAAATACAATTAAGTTTACCGAATAGTTTTATTTTTCACTGGAAAATTTATTCATTATATGATTATTGGACCATTGAAAATAAATAAACTAAATAGATATGGCTGAATCATCGTTTAGAAATGCTCATAGCGTTATAATAGGTACTCTTGATTCATATTCAATGTATTAGAATGGAAATGCATCGTTATTTCGATTTTTTTCTTAAGAAAAGTCTGCTGTCAAGATAAAAATAGATAGAATCCTAAATAGATGGCAGTATTTTGCTGTATATATGTTATTTAAAAATATTGTTGTCTCATGAAAAACATCAACTTTAAATCACAAGAATATATTTCTAATGACAATAAATCAGTTATTTGTAGAAATAAAACAGAGAAAAATCTATAGAATCTCATATATGAATATTTCAATATTAAAATGATTTATAGAATTTACTTATAACTTTCATTTGAATAGTTTAACATTGTTTCCCATGCATTTCTTCTTAATTTACATTGTCTTAATCGAAAATTCTTGTTTCATATACTGTTTAGATTAAATAACTATTTGATTTATGACAAACTATATGCACATAAAATAAGCCATTTTTCATGTACAAATGACCTTGACATAAATACAAAAGAAACAAATGTTTGTAACACATTGATAATATATAAGAACAACATGATTTACGAATATTTCTTCAAAATAGAAGCAAAACTATGCAGAAAACTCATTTTTTATTGCAAGTTTTTAACACATTACATGTATCATCATCATCAGGCAATCGAGACGATTTTAATAAAAGTTCAAGATTATAAATCGAGGGTTTTCGAAGTTGTCAAAACTCTGTTTTTCTTTCGTTTCTGTCGAGAAAAAATGATAAAAAGTTCGCCCAAGGCTGTCTGACTGTTGCTTTGTCACCTTCTGAATAGTTAATGTACATTTAAGAAAGAAATTTAATTTAATGCATCAGTTACAAAAAACTTGATCCGCTAACTAATTAAAATAATGTTTGTATCTCAATGAAGCCATGCTATAAATATTCATAACGATAAGTACCTAGCGTAATACACAATCAAATCACATCAAACTAAAAGCTGACAGATAGGAATGAAGAAAAGTTTTTAAGAATATTCTTTTTTGATGAAGTGTATGACCAGAATGATAAATTTCGAAATTGATTCATGTATTATCAAGGCAAGACAGGCGATAATTCATTTCGTCAAATATGTTAGGATTATGCACTTTCACTATATTGTATTTCCAAGTTCCGATTTTTGAATGATGGATTAAAAAAATAGGTAAAGACAAGACTTAAAATGTGTCACAATCGTTCTTTCTAGAGGAAAGAACATTTTGAGAAACTTTGAAGAACAAAAAACATTTGGAGCATGGTATTCATTAAATGAAAATGGAGAAATGACTTGAAGAATCAGGTCTTCTTGAACCAATAATTGCAATGACTAACACTCATTACGTCGGAACAATACGAGATGCAGCTATTCAATCTATCAGTCGACAATCGACGGAATTGGTTCTGTCCGATGATGAATACTCTTCATCAAGTTTACAAGTTGTCGCTGAAACATGAAATGGATATCATGTTCAGTAAGGATATCTTTTCGATGCAATCGAAACAGTAAGATCAGGTTATGTCAATGAAGTAACAGAAATGATTTTAAAGATTATACTTGAACATTGTCTAGTAAGTAGAGTCCGATAGACTTTAGTCGTCTGAGAAATGTGTTGGGTGCACTGGTCATCGAAAAACAAGTATCTTGTATCTTCAGGGCAACTATCCAATTCTGATTAGAAAATTTCATTGAAAATATCAAAGTACGGTTAGATCGAGTCTGAATTCGAAAAATTTGAACCCAACAGGCTCTACTCTTAAGTATGATAAAAATACGTTGGTGTTCTTGTTTAGTCAATCAATAAGTAATGGGTAAACAAACAGGTTTATTGCATTTAGAAATATTATCCAATGAACCAATGAATCATTTTTTTTTGAAGCTATTACAATAACAATTAAAGAAGCATTCTAAAGATAAAAATAGTTTTGAGATCAACTGCCATCAATGATACAGAAGAAGATATTGGATTTTATATACAGATAGAAAATAATCTTCTAATCGAATGTCTTTTTATGAGCATTGAGCATTTGAGTCAATCCTTCAAACGACATATCATTGAATTATATCTTCTCTTAGAATAATAAAAATATAAATATGAGAAAATATTTTTCACAATCGATCGACGTAATTTTTTTAATAATGTGTTGAACAATTCTATATAAAAACATAATGTAGTAGAAGCGAATAATTATTTATCTTATTCGATTATTTGTCGCTCATCACGATTCACTGATTACATATTCAATCGAACAATGTACTCAGTAATCAAATGGAAATATATTAGATACAAGAAGAACAATTTTTAAATTTTGAATAAAGAATGGAATAAAAAAAACTTTTAATGATTGATAAAATTTCTAAGAAACTTAACAAACTAATAAAAAGTGATGGACAACAATCTTGTTGATCGATAAGATTAACACGAGTATCCAAGTCTCATATAAAACAATTCGATTAGGAATTATTTTCTCTCTGCAAAAAAAAAATTAATTTTGTCGCACATTAACATATGTTGTTGATCAAAAATCATGTTTCATTCGATTTTTTATATGTTCGTATAACGAGATAATTTTTTTTGATTCGATTTATTTGAATAAATTCTGTTGAATTTTACAATGAGTCGTTGATAAATATATCGCATAGCATGGGGGGTATAGCTCAGTGGTAGAGCATTCGACTGCAGATCGAGAGGTCCCTGGTTCAATCCCGGGTGCCCCCTAGTCTGTTCTTTTTTTTCCTCCTCTTTCTTTCATTTATAGAACATTACTCTATTGCTGTATAGTTGTACATTGATCGTAGACACAAGTGAGATACAATCATGACGTGTACTGTATTGCTATTTTTTTTTTCTTCGTTTCTTTTGACGATTACAGAACAAATAGTATTATTGTCATATGAAATCATTTTCTTTTAAAAATCCAACAATTTAATAAAATATGATGAAAATATGTTTACTATGATACTACAATACTCATTCATCATATTGACGATTGAAAGAGAATAGCAAGGAATGATGCTTTGTTATAATAAATCATCGAAAAATTACACCAGTTGCTTACACATGATTGGCAACAGGTGGAATAAAAGAATATTATAAAGAAAAAGATAAATATATATATTCTATGTATATTTATATATATAACTTATAAATATAAAAACACATGACTATTCGTTAAATGTAAATTATCTTTTTTTCCCTCATATGTCCAGTAGAGGTAGTTTTGACTTAATTAGAAAAATCTAGATGAAAACTAAATAATATATTAAAGTAGTCCTGTAGTTAGCATCTGAAGCACATCTAAAAAGGTAGTTGTCGGTTATTGTCATACTGATTGGTGTGTTTTATATACACATAGCACCGTATGAGGGTGAGGAGACGGTGATTAATTGAAAATATTCCAGACTTATCAATTAAGACTTTTGAATGCTAAAGAATTATGTCAATTCTGATACAAATTCGTTGATTCATTCAATCTGATACTTGATTTCGATGTATTAGATGCATTTTAGAATGCTTTATTCAGATCAAGATGAGGATTCATATATATATCACTTGAAGAATAAAAAAATATGGGACGGAAATTATTTAATAAGTCTATGGCAGTTATGAAGATATTGAGACTGTATACGATCTCTCTACCAGCATACGATGAGTTGCAAGCAAAATTAGACGAAATTATTTGTCCAATGCTCATCTATCCCTGACGTAAGTGTCAATAAAAAATTTTTTATTCATAATTATTTTTCATGAAACACAAACAATCATCTTTTTTTTTTTGATCACTACTTAGGTTATATTATGAAAAACTTTCAATAATATTCAAAAAAAAGTAAATTTTATGCGAATGATATATTATGAAGAAAGAATTATATATTAAATAATAGTTCTCTCTCCAATACTAGGTAAAGATGTACTATATTGAGAACATGTATCATTGATTTGTAGTGATCCCATCATTTGATATTCTGGTTCACTAGTCGATTCCCATTCACAAAGATCTGATTTGATAGTTTGTATTTCATGTGATGCACCTTGTCGTACAATCCAAGCACCCTTACGTGCTAAACCTTGAGCAATCATACCGAATGTTGATTTTGATGTTATGATAAGATGTTGCATTTTTGATAGTATAAGTAATTCTGCCAAAGTATATTGCATCTGTTCGATTACATTAGCAGTTTCAGGTGGTTCTGGTGAGTTAAATATTTCTAAATTTTTATACATTTTTGTAATATGATTTTCTAGTTGTTGACGACGTTTTCGAGTATTTGAAATGATATATAGACCAATTTTGGTTTCATTTCTACTAGATCTATCTATTAGATAAATTTATAAAATTTGAATTATGAATAGTATTGTATTAATAATTTACTTACTAATATTTTTTATAACATGTTCAATACATTTTTGAAATGGTTCGATATGATTAATCATATTTGTTGACCAACTACGCATATGAACTCCGATTGTAAGAATTTTATTCTCTAAATTATATTTTGTTTGAAAATCTTTAATAATTGAATTAACTTTTGGTACAGGATGTAAAAGTTTTGTTGCTAATTCTGAAAAAACTTGTCCATTTTGAAAAAGTCTAATAAATGCTTGTCGTAGATTTTTATTTCGTTTAAATAATGGTACAAAATATTGATCAGTTCGAATCCATTTAATATGATGAGTAATTAAATTTATAATATAAAATCCAAATGATTGATTATATATATTATCATTACATAAAATATCACGATCAAAATAAAATGCCCAATCGTTTGGTATTCGACTATTTTTCATTTTAGATTCAATTTCATTTATCCATCGATTTTTAATTAAATTAGCTAATCTAGACAATGAATATTGATCATAAATAGGTACATTATCTGATAATGATAATGGTAAAAAAAGATCTTTGAAAGAAGCTTGATGATTATCACCTGGTTGCCAATTAATTAGAAGAACTCGACTAGTTACAAGAGCATAAGTAGTAACAGCTATTAAACCAAGGATACGATTACCTAAACCATTCACACCATCAAATATAACATAATCTGCATTAGTAAATGAATGTTCAATTATACAAGTTCGATAAGCAATATAAGAATTAAGTAAGATAGTTATATTACAAATTTTATTTGATAAAGCACATGTTTGAAATGAATCAACATTATATAAATGAGAACATAAAGAAGATGAAAATAATTTTTTATGAATAATATAAAGAAAATAAATAATTATTATTATAATCACGAAAATTTTGATTTTGACAGATTTTATTTTTATGAATTTCATCTAACATTGATTATAATAAATAAATATTTGTTAATAATAATTTATCTAATAGATGCTAAATACAAAAAACCTTGACATATTATGTTTGCTATTCTCATGATGAGTCATTATATTTATGTCATAGAACAGTCGTGTCAACGAGAGAAAAAAAAACGAGCCGTTTTTTGTTAATTTATTATTATCTTTTCTTTTGCGTTCTGTTTCATATATGGCGCAAAAAGAAATATAATCCTATTGATATTCACTTTTTGTTTTTATTGATTACAAAATGAAACTTGCATAAAAGTAGAAATTTTGTTCTGATAATTTTATTTTATATGAAACAACAAGTAGATTTAATATAGTTTGCCGTGATAATTTCTCAACAGTTTAATAAAGATATCATTTTAATGAAAATATATATCGAAGAATTCTCGATTCATAATATCAAAAAATTAAAACAAATTAATTTAGTTGAGTATTTAAGAAATACATGTGAATCTATCGACATTTCGAATAGACATTATATACTTTAACTATATATCCATTTTTTATATAATAAAATTTCGTGTAACCTACCGTTCGTAACAAGCTAATAACTTCAGATATACTAATCATATTTATAAACAAATTATCAATGATAATGCACTTCAAATAATAGATTAACCATCCAACAATCTGAATTTATATCAAGCAAAAGAATATTTAGTCAATTGTCACATACACACACATCACTGAAAGTATTAAAATGTTAATATTAATGTTGAAATAAATTGTTACTGATCTATGAAAAAGTAATTTTTTTTCCTATTATTTCTTCCAAAAGTGAATCAATTAAATTTTACATAAAAGTATTAGAACATCATTGGGATCCTTCAAAACATGTTCACTAAGGGCATTTTACGTACAATTCACTTCAATCAGTCCAAAGCGGAAAACTATCTCTTTCATCGCTAGCACATGTTTCTTCAATCTTTATTTAAAAACTCGCTTATCGTTCTCTGATTGAGTTCTTTCCAGTCGATTTAGAATTGAGTGAGCTTACGAGTCGAGCTGTGGTTGCTGAGTTGCAGCTATTACATGCAAATTGTCTGACCATCTCTATTACCTCGATAAGCTTGGCCGACGTCTCAGCCGACTTGCTTCAGAAGTAGCCGGTCGGACAATTCATTTTTATTGTTATTTTTGTTTTCTGCATACGACGTATTGGCCTAGTACCGCTTTAGAGTGCACACTGCGTTGGCTCTTTTTCTCTTTTCACACACACATACATACGTTGTTTCATGTGTGCTCACTAACAGAGATTTTACTATATATAGTATTCCGCTGTTTATGAATCGAGAGATGGAGCTTATTTTTAACAGGTTCTTCTGAAAACTCGCATTATATGAAAAATAGACATTCTCTTGGAATTCGAATCACAAAATGATTTCGATTTCGATCGTATGCTTAGTTTTCAAAAGAATATCTGCTATTTTTGATAAATTATCTTCATCAAGTTATATATCATTAATAATCAGATAAATTTATTATTCAGTTTTCTTTCATATTATAAATTTGTTCATCGATTGCAACTACTTATAAAATACATTCATATTAAGAATGAATGCAAAAGCAAGAATCAACGTTGAAAATGAAAATTCTTTTCAAAAGTCATCGTGCTATCAGCAGTAAATATGCCTGTTGATAACATACTGGTAACATGTAGTACTATTAAGAAACGAAAAAAAAAGTACAAAAGGTATGATTACTTATTCAGGTTAATAAGATTTTTACGCATGAACGTATTTATTTTTATTTTTATTTTCTACAGGAACGTGTAGTCCTAAAGATAATCATGTTTCAACTAGTCTACGATTTCTGTCTCTTCTATTGACACTAATGTTTTCTTGTTACGGCTACTATAACCCCGAGAATACATAATGATTTCTGTATTGTGCATGAAAATGTCCGTAAAATAATGCTGTAGTCTTCATCATATTAATTTCCCATCGTCTAAGCACAAGAAATGACTAATCTTAGTGCATTGGATACAAATATTTGTTGATGACTTGATTTAAATTATACTACGCTCGGTCGAAAAAAATTGGGATCCAGTTTTGCATATGTTGCGTATTTCGATCATGACTGCAGCATTAACTATTCTTGCTGAATTAACGAATGATACAAGATAGTGATCAGCCATTCATTGTGAGTTGAAAGTATGGATAGTACAAAATTGGTAAAATCCAAATTAGTGATAGAATTCTATTTAAGATCCACTTATTGTCATAGATGTAACTCCCATGTTAGGCGTAGGATGAATAACTAAATATGATTCTGTCGTTAATATTTCATATTGTGTTAAATGTTGGATCAAAGATTGGGAAGGTGATATCATTTCAATGTGAGAATTGTGAATTCAATTGTATTGTGAACTTGCCACATCTAACGACTGATGCAAAAGTCTTGGCACAAATGTCGAGACCTGTAGTATTTCAACAGAAAGTGCTAGAGATCTAATTCTTTCACCATTAGATAGACCAAAGTGTCTGCTTTCAAACCCACTTTTTTCAAAAAGTTTTTGATGAAGTTAAGGTTTTCAAATTTTAAATTTGCAAAAACCACTAAAAACGGTTTGTAACTTTTGATCCTTTTTCGCGCTTTTTTTAAATTTAAAACAACAGTATTCTTGTCGAATTAACAGATAATGAGCTGAAACTTCCAGGGAATCAAGTCTGAAGTGTAGGGTTTTTCAAAATCTCACTCCGAAATTTGTGCGTATCCATGGTAATCCGCAATCAGGCTTTTAAGCGAAAGCACGGCAGTGTTGGGTTTTTTGGTGCGCAATTTAGGTATTTTTAGGAAGACAAAAATTTTTAATTAGTCCAAAAGATGCTGTTTTTCAAGACCTTTCAGAATCCATACGAAAAACTGGGAATAGGTGTTTTCATCTCCTGAAAATCAGCTAAACACTACTAATGAACAAAATAGCGCTTTGGCACCAATTTCGTCATAATTAAATCCACTTATAACTCAGCCAGACTATGTTTGATTGAACCAAGCTTTGTTTTTGAATCGTGGCTACTGAGCTACTAAATTTTTGTAGCACAGCGAAAAACTGTGAAACTTACATAAAGGTGTGTTATCGTAACATTTCCTAATTTCGCATGGGTACAAGTCGTTTTTAGTGGTTTTTCAAAAATTAAAATTTGAAAACCTTAACTTCATCAAAAGCTTTTTTCAAAAAGTGAGTTTGAAAGCAGACACTTTGGTCTATCTAATGGTGAAAGAATTAGATCTCTAGCACTTTCTGTTGAAATACTACAGGTCTCGACATTTGTGCCAAGACTTTTGTATCAGTCGTTAATTTTCTCAATCATTGCACATGATTTTTGTTGTCAATATCAATCGACCGAGTGACTAAAATTGTTTCAATTATAAAACATTTAAAAGTACAAAGTCACTTCAAATATAAAAGATAATTCAATATAAAGATTTTATTATATATATTTTCATATTCTCATTGTATTGACATAGTACTTTATGTTAGACACATGTATGAATCATTTGCACTATGACACAACAATTTTATTTTTCTTTCTTATCGAAAGAATATTGTGAATAAAATGTAGGTTGAAAGAAGTCGAATTATTTCATATTTTATTTTCATTCATTAAGTAGATCTATGACTGATCAAGAACCATTAGTTGAAATAAACACCAATCAAGTGTATCAAATACCGGATACATCTATTAATGTGCCAGTTATAAACGTGACAAATGAATCATCATCAATACCAACTGAAGTAACGACTCGATCAAATGCTGTTCCAAAATTATTATATCTTGATGGTCTTCGTGGAATACTTTGTTTAATTGTTGTTTTTAGTCATTGTTTATTAATGGGTAAGACAACTCATGACGAGAGTTTTTCAATTTTTTATCGTCCATGGATGCATCATTCACCTTTACGTTTATTGGTATCTGGAGAATTTGCTGTTGCTGGATTTTTTGTATTATCTGGATGTGTTCTTGTACGACGATATTTTGAACACTTTGATGATAATAGTATTTTATTTAGTAGTTTAATTCGTCGATTTCCACGACTTTTTATTCCATCAACTATTGCTCTATTATTCTATTTTTCTATATTACATTTTCGACCATTCTATGGTTTTAATATATGTCATGAAATTGGTGAAGGTAGTGTAAATGCAGAAAAAATTCATATTGGATATGTTCTTTTAAATACATTTGGACAATATTTTTGGATGCCAGCATTATATACAATACAATGGACAATGCAAATTGAATTTATTGGTTCGATTGTAATCTATTTATTAGCATTTTTAATAACTCGATCTTTTATTTATCGTTATCGAATATTGTCCTACGTATTTCTTATACTTATTTTGCCTATAGTATGGTTAGCTACTCATGGATCAGTTCCAAGAGCAGTTCAATATATTCAACCATTTATATTTGGACTTTTATTAAGTGATTTAGATGCTAGTGGATATTTAAATTTTTATCATTCAATAAAACTACATTGGTCAATTTTAATCAATTTAATTCTAATATTATCAACAATATATTTTGGTTCATATCCTGTATTTAATACAGATGTAGTAGATGGTAAACGAACATTATGGTCTCCATTTGGTTGGATGTTTGGTTGGTTTTGGATTTCATTTGGAGGTTTTTGTTTAATACTATTATCAATTCTATCGAAAAAATTTCAATATTTTTTATCAACAAAAATAATTCATTTTCTTGGTAAAATCTCATTTGGTATTTATCTTATACATTATTTAATTTTATGTATTATTGATACTTCATTTGTTCAATGGACAGCTCCACATATAGGTCGAGATCTAGCTGTTATTTTAGGATTAATTATATTTGCATTACCAATTATTTTCTTACTTTCATATGGATTTTATTTATTTGTTGATGTTCCTGCTGTACAAAATGCTGATTGGCTTTATTTTATTATTTGTAATCGTTGTTTGAAATTGACAAAACGTCCACGAACAATAAAACGACATGTATGGATTATTCTTCTAATTCTATTTTTTATTTCAATTATCATAAGTTCAATTCCATCGTTACAAGTTAATCAAAGATGTGATAATGATTCATGGAAAAATCGAACCTTAAATATATCAATATATAATCATCTTCTTATGTAAATTATTTAAACTAATATTGTTTGTTTTTGTTAACTTTTAAAAAAATTTTGATAATACATATTTACTTAACATTAGATTAAGAATACTATCTATTAAAAGATCATCAAATTGAAAAATATTTATAAATAAAAAAACTCCTATCATAATTCCTATGATGTCAAACAATAAAATCATTGTAGGATGTTACATTCAAAAAATTGATATTTTGAATTAACTTTAGAGGTAATAGCAGTTGTTTATATATACTTCAATTATGATTATTACCTAGATTATATATAGAACGTTGAAAAAGTTCTGAAAACTAGTAACATTTCTTGAATAAGAACTACGTTATATTTATTTGTCTACAGTAAACATTAGAAGACATGATAACAATATTCGATTTACTTTTGAGTAATCTTTTTGTATTCATCGATATGTGTCAAACGGATTACTCGGTTATTTAGATCTAGATAGATATTTAATCTATATTTTAAAATAATTGAATAGGAGAAGCGAGGTCAGTTGAATGTATCTAATGGACAGTATCTTTGAATTCTTTCTTCTTTAAGAAATTTAATAACAACACTTTTTATATGCGGTTTGCAGTACCATGATGGATTTGATACTATCGATGCCTCATGATAGTCTTTATTAAAAAGTTTCTTAACTAATGCTTTTTGAAGATTATTGCAATGATTAGATAGCATTAACAGACTGTATAGAATGCACCTGATGAATATAACTAAGCAATAACCGAGCCATCAGTTTGACACATATCAAGGAATACAAAAAGATTATGCAAAAGTAAATCGAACATTGTTATCATGTCTTCTAACGTTTATTATAGACCAATAAATATAATGTATTTCTTATTCAAGGACTGTTACTACCTCTCAGAACTTTTTGAACGTTTTATGTAAATTTATAGTGTCCGTAATAAATACTCAAATCGACCAGATTTGTTTTCAGAAAACATTTGTTTAATCGAAATTAAAAACTTATTAATCCATTTATTTTTAAAGTTTCATATCGATGGATTTTGTTTTATATATATTTGTTATTTTATACTCAAAGTAATTAATGAATGAATCTTGTGATGAAGACTTACTAGATAATTCAAAATGAATGAAAATCTATTTTGTATTTAATAAAGTATAGAAACAATTTTCCAAAACAAGGATTCGTTAGTTTTATTTAACAAGAAAAATAATTACAAAATTAAATCATGATTAAAAATAGAATGATTATATTAAGTTTTATATAAATATGAAATGTTCTATCCGTTTGTTTTAATTATATAATCTACTATCCATTTCAAAATAGAAGGCGAGTGATTGCGAGTCGAATAACTCGGAGATAGAAGCAGCTGTGGAGCTGCGGTTCTCACCATTAAAAAGCAGACACCAAAGCACGTGAATCTATGGAAAAAGTTCATTGGTCAGTAATGAACCAATAGGATTAAGATCCGCTGGACATTTTGAAGATAGCTTTTGGAACGCTTGTTTCATTGGATTTTGAACTTCAATTAAACCATTATAATAGAAAAAATTGTTCTCTTTTGATCTACACAAGACCAACCTCGATAGCTTACTTCTTTCGGGAGCTATAAGCATTTTCCTGAGACCCTCAAAATCTGTCAGGTGACGTGGAATCACCCTTAAAAGCATTACATTATAGGTGATCGACCATGCTGAATTCATTGGTGATGTTTGTTTTTTTATTTCAAAAGTAACCTGAGATCATTATAAAAAAGTTTTCGTAAATCTAGTTTTTGCTGCTATTTGGCTTAAAGAACATGTATATTGAAAATCTCGATACAGTGATTTCAGATTACTTTGAAATAAAAAACAAACATCATCATTGAATTCAGCGTGGTTGATTACCAATCAC